ATAATGGACCTATGTCCCTAATCGACCATTACTCAAAACCATTACTTGGGCAAATTCTCCACTTGAGATTTATCATGAACTAGACTTGACTTCCTAAATTGTGCCATTACAAGGCTACTCGTTTCTGCATAACTCCCTTGCCTTATAATAAATCTATGCATCCTTGGGAGGATATAAAGAAACATATACAATGAGCTATCCATCAAAATATCACTATGGATATTGATGCACTCCAGATGGAAGTTTTGTCAATGTCCCAACAAAACCAAAATTTTGACAAACAAATTCAAGATTGGGACAAATTTTCTAATGCTTTAGATCAATTGAATCCATTCAATTATCTGAAAGCACATTTCTGGCTTTTTGTTTGTATTCTTGGAGTAATCTGTGTGTTTCTCCTTATTCTATTCATAGTCTGTTAAAGAGGAGCCAAGATATGCCTGCCAACTCCTAGACAACATTCAACCATGCCTCACCCTGATCCAGATGTTGTTACAAAATAAAAGGGAGGAGATGTTGAAGACCATTACAAAGCAAAGTGGATCCAAACAAGATTTAAATTTTATTAACTGGCTTTGTATGTTTATCTGTGAGTCTGTCCTAGGGCTAGGCCCCTTGCCTCGTGACAGGAGCTGATTCATAGTAAGTGAACCTCTATGAATCACTGGTCCTGGCTGAGGCCTCTAGTGGCCTGTGAGAACAGAGATACCTCAAAGGGCAAGATAAGGTAACAGCTGTGGACACTCTGGCTACAACCCCAATTAACGTGGTAGAGACTGCAGCTGCAAAGATTACTCCTACTCCTACAGTCTCACTTCTACCATATCTTCATGATAAGACAGTGCTACTAATTTGATTTGATTCATTACTTGGAGACATCCTTGAAGTGACTCCCAAGGTCCTGCTCACTGCCTGCACTTTCCTCAGTTTCTCCTAATATAAGAGAACTGACCCAGAGAATCCTTTGTCTTGACCCTTGAAGCCTCAAGCTTTATTAAAGGGTTTTGGTTCTCCTTGAGCCCTAAAAATCAGAACATTTGTCTCTTTTTATTTAACCTCCGCCTTACACTCATTTGGGGGATCGAGGACCTAGGACAGAAAATGATATTTCTGCTTTATGTTAAATATGTTCCATGTCTGTAGCACACACTGAGATTTTGTTCTTGATACATTATGCCAACTTATGTCTTTTAATGGAAGAATTGAGAGTTATTCTTACTGTCATTGCATTATTTTTCTACTGGTTATCCCATTTCTTTCCCTTTTAATTGCTCACACTGCCTAGGGTAATGGTCATGTTAGCTGTTTTGGACTCATTAGCTTCAGTATGTCTTTGCTGGCTAAATTTGAGAATTCTTTTGCAGTGCTTTCTTGGTCGTAATGATTTTTGTTAGGTGCTCTTTTTCATTAGAATGTCGGATTCCTCCATCAAATTTTCAAAAAGCTTGTGGAGTATATTGATTTTACTTGAAACATGTTTTGTTTCTGGACTTGAAACATGTTCCTCCAGTGACTAATGGCTCTTTATTAAGGTTTCTGATGGGAAGTCTGTTTTAATTTTAATGGATTTTTCTTTATAAGTTTTTTCATTCCTTTCTTCTATGACCTTTTATGATTTGTGTTTGGTTTGTGGGATTTTCAACTTACCATGATGTACTGTGAAGTTCCTTTCCTGTTCATGGCTACTGGGGTTCTATATGGTTCTCTTTTATGTATGTTAAATTTCTCCCCAAAGTTTCAAAAGTTATGTCTCATTTTGGAAAACAGAGTACTTATACAATTTATGCTGTCTATTCAGTAGTGTACTTCCAATTAACTTTAAATGTTTTTTCATCATTGAATCACAGATGGATCATTTTTTAATGAATTCTTTTTGTTCCTAGAGGTATTTCTGAGTATATGGAAACTGGCACCAGCCCTGTTCAGACCCTCTGTTCTCACACATTTCTCTTCAGCTGCCCATAATTTCTATAGAAGTTTTATTCTTGAATTAATTTTTGGTAGTTTGCCGGGGCTATAATTCTTTGCTAAACTGGTCATTCATGTGTCCTATAGTTGTGGGTTGATGCAAAGAGAATTATTCTTAAGCTCATAAAGATGAATAGGGCTTTCCATGCTGGGTTGCAAATATGCTTGAGATCATGTAATCCTTTTATTTCTTTAATTTTTACCCTTTTCATAATGGAAATATATGTTCTATTACTGTATTACTGAGTTTTTTAAAACACCATTTGATTCCTAGTTTTACAAGTCTTAAAGGGCAGATTCTTTTCCCCCAATATGAGGCCAACTCAAAGCCTCACCAATACCTTATTTAGATTAGCCAAGTAATGAGGCTTAGAATTGTTTAAATTGATGGTTTCGGTTAACAGTGTGCAATTGGAGTTCATTCTAGCATATATTAAACAGATGGAGATGTTAGAATGTGGAACATATATTTTGCACATAAATGAATATGAGTACTGCAAGAAAGAGGACAAATATAGTAAGTTGAAGAATGGTCTCTGCAATTTCATAGTGACTCAGAACTTTGAATTTTTTTCTTCAAAATAGTCCTTGTAAAGATAATCAATGCAGGATGAGACTACAGTGGATGAGGGTGAACATTTAATTCAATGCTTGGTATTATGGGTTAAAGAATGAAATTTGTAGAAACAAACAAAAAAACACATATGGGCTAAATCTATGTCAAAACAGGGATTGGACATGGGTATGCTTGTGCATGCCTGTAATCCCAGTACTAGGGAGGCTGAGGCAAGAGAATCACTGAGAGTTCAAGGCCAGAATGGGCTACAAAGTGAGTTTAAGGCCAGCCTTAACCACACAGTGAAAGTCTGTCTCAAAAAATGAAAACAAAAAAGCAAACAGCAATTGAGATGATGCAGCTACTGGAAAACAAATAAGAATTGCTGAAAAAATCAAAGCTAGTAAAAGGCATGTGCAGATTTTTTGATATGCTTTGCAAGTAAGGTGATACTGTCAATAATTGATTTCAAAATTAATCACCTGAGAGAATAAATTTATGTTCTTTCAAACAATCACCTTTGTTGTTCTCTGTTTTAACTCTCCTAGGAAACAGGTACATAAGGAGGAGGAAGAGGAAAATGAATAAGAGAATAAAGACAAGGTGGAGAAGAGGGAAGAGAAGGTGGAGGAGAGGGAAGAGGAGGTGGAGAAAGCAAGGACTGGGGACAGGGAATTGGAAGAGACAGAGGAGAGGGAAAGAGAGGGGAGGAAGTAGAAGAGAGGAATAGGAGAGGGAAGAAAAGGAGAAGGAGGAAAAGAAGGAGCCATACAAGTATTGCCCTATAGGGAGAAGAGGAAGATGAGAAGGGTAGAAAACTATATATCATATCATATTAGTAACTTTAGTAAAGTAATATTTTAATTAATGTTTGGGAATATAGACACAAATACAGGCATATATATGTACATATGTATATGCATGTATATAGGCATGATTTATGAGCTTTAGTTTAAAAAAAAAAAAAAAAAACTACAATGAATGCTACTTCTGAGAGTTCCATCCACCAGAAGGGAAGGCTTATAGGTAGAGTATGATGTGTCATCATCCATGGTAAAAGACTCTTTGTTTTTGCTCTTCCACAAAGTCAAAATGACCACGAAGTGTAAAAATTTTCAATGGATTCCTGGACAGCAACACATGTTGACACTCACAAATGAGGATTTGCACAACTGCTTCAAATATATATATGTATATATATATGCATATATATAATGTAGATATAGATATATACTTTATATATATAATGTAGATATAGATATATACTTTATATATATACTTTATATATGTATATATATATATATGTGTGTGTGTGTGTGTGTGTGTGTGTGTTATTGTCACACATAGAACTTGATCTTTCCACTTCTTCAGTTTTTAGAGATGTAATCATCAGATTTACCAGTTTCTCAGTTTTTCCCAGAAAACTGCTAGACACAGATTCCCTTTGAACATGGCCAAAAATTTAGAGCAGTAGCACAAGTGTCTGCCTAGCAAGTGCAAGGTCATTGGTTTAATTGCTACTACAAAACAAATTTTTCAATAGCTCCAGAAACCAATTCCCTGTCACGGAAAGTAAGTTAGTGTATCTTTCCAAAACTCGACAGAATGTACATCCTAGTATGATACATCATTTAAGACTCACACATGTGTGAGTAGGATTGGGGAATGTGCTGCATTTTTCAAAAATATCAATGACAAAATAAATACAGAAACTTGTAGGAGTGTTCTAGACTCAAGGACACTAAAAAGACATGGTAATGAAGAACAAGATACATGATCCTAGCTTGAATCTTTTACAAAGGTATTTTAAAAAATCAAGAGTATGATTTATCAAATGACAAAATGAATACCCCCAAAGTATTATTAGGTATACTGAATATTTCAGTGTTCAGTGAATATACACATTGAAGATAAAGTAATAGATTCTATTTTGTCTTTCCTTCATCCTGGTTCTGTCAAGAGATCTTCCAAAATCAAATTGGTTTTTACTCCAAATCTAATTTTTGCAGACTTTTTATCTTCATTAAATGTAAATTTCCAGCACAGTACAAAGATTTTTGAAAGTATTATCTGAATATTAAATTTGCTACAGTTACTTGTAGAGAGATTATTTGTTTTTGGGAAACATATATGCAGTTAAGTAAGGCTCATGATGTGTTTCAGTTACTCTCAAAGATATCTCTGGAGAGAAGACAGAGTTTAGGATAATGATGAGAGAAAGTGACTCTGAATGAGATGTACGGGATAATTCATGGAAATAATTTTATTTCTTTTGGTAACTGGGAGGCCCTACTTGCTTGTCCAAAGAGCAACCGCTGAGTGAGAGGTTTGGGAGCCACACCCACCTACAAGGCCAATCCTCTTATTTGCCCTGCCTTCAACTCAACTGAGTCACTCCCTGCCTGTTTATGACACAATCTCAGCATTACCTCTGTTGCCTCACCTACCAGATCACCAGCCTTTGTGAGGGCCTGGGTTCATGGATGAGACACAGCAGTGGGCTGCCATAGGTAGGAGCTCTGGCCTCACTCAGCAGTGCCCTCTGATCAGGCAGCTTCCTGATGGGCAGTGGATTATCACTCAAGCTACTTAAATCACATCAATGGCTGTGACCCTGAGCCACAGGTATCTGGCAGCAACCCAAGTGAAGTCGCGGGAGCACCCCAAGTGAAGTGGAGCAGTAGATCCCAGTTCTCCTCTCCTGCCATCTCCACTCCTGCCCGCCATTCCCGGCATCCCCTACAACAGGAGACAAACCATTCCTCCACCCCAGTACCTGTCAACTTGGCCTCTTGTCACTGCTCCTTGCGACCCAGCCTCACCGACACCTCGTCACAAGAGCCAGCCTTGATTCAATCTTTGGGCACCAAGAGTTGAGGAGAATGTCTTCTTTAAAGCGCCTTCAAAAGGAGCTCCTCGACCTGGCTCGTAATCCCCCAGCCAACTGCTCTGCCGGTCCTATGGGAGATGACATGTACCATTGGCAAGCAACCATAATGGGTCCCAATGACAGCCCCTACCAGGGAGGTGTCTTCTTCCTAACCATGCAGTTTTCTTCAGACTATCCATTCAAACCCCCCAAGGTAGCGTTCACCACCCGAATTTATCATCCAAATGTTGGTAGAAAGGGAAAAATCTGGATAGACGTGCTCAGGAACCAGTGGTCTCCAGCGTTCACCATATCCAAACTACTCTTATCCATCTGCTCCATGTTGTGCAATCCCAAACTGGAGGACCCTTTGGTCCCTGAAATCGCCGAACTCTACCTAAAGGACAGGAGAGAATATGAAAGAAGGGCTAGAAAATGGACTGAGAAGTATGCCACATGAGGCCCAAATGAAGCTCCTTTGCCAAATTAATAAACACAGCATTGGCAGTCCAGTTAATTAGTTGTCTCTTTCTTTAAACACACATCTTCCTCAACTTTGTGAGTACACAATGCACACAATTCATATTAGGTTATATGTGCAGAGGTATGGAAGGGAATGGATGAGTGAGGGGAGGCTGGGTGGCTGGTGGAGGAGGGGAATGGAAGTTAGGTGGAAACTAAATTAAAACAATGTTACATCCTATAGGATTAGAGGCAAAAGACATAACATTGTTTTAATTTAGTTTCAAATAAACAATTTCTTTATTAATTTAGGACTGGAAAACAAAGCAAAGGCAGTAAACTGAGACTGTATTGGCTTTGCCGCTAGAAGAATGACTTCACTTACCGAGGGTAATAATTTTAAGGTAGAATCTTCTAAACTACCAATAAGTAGGAAAACTTGAGTTCATGTCTCTAAGCTAGTTAGAGACCTATTTTAATTTGCAGCACCTGCACATTTAGATGTTTTATTTTGGACTAAGATTAGTATTCACTCATATCCTCTATTTTAAGGTTCAGGGTTAATCAAAATACAAGAATGTTTACAAGTAAAATGTTTCATTTCTGGTTTTCTACACCTGCTGGGTCTTGGATTCCCTTCATTTTCCCGCTTCTAGCACTTTGTCATCAGCCATGCTAGATGTGATGTGTGAAAGACTAGTGCCAAAGCTGAAAAATGAATCTAACAATAGTCAAGCAATATAGACAAGTTAAAAATTTATTGATGCACTGGAAAACAACAGCAGGAATACCCAAGAAAGGCCACTCCATCAAAGTAAAAGTTTAAACCTTTCATCTTTAACTTGAATGTGGGACTGGGGTTGGGCAACTTCATCCCAGGAAAACTTTTAACATGTTACAGTGCTTAATAGAAGCATCAACCATATAGATTCTAAGGATAGCAATCTGTTTGAAGATTGATGCAATGTTTGTGTTTTACAGGGTCCATTGTCCTTGCCACCATGAGTACTTGTCTATCTCAGTAAAATTCATTAACAGATGTGTAAATATGTGGTCAAGAGAATCAGAATAAAACGTGATTGTGCATGAAAAGGATATTTTTCACTCTAGAGTGACAAGAGAAGAAATAGTACTCTTTAAGAGATGGCAAGAAGGTAGATCAAATAACAATGTGTGTGAGTTTTCTGTACGGTTTACATGGTGAAAAGGCAACATTCTACTATGGATTCATCATGCAGTTGAAATGCAACTTTTAAAGATACAATAGTAATACAAATATTTATCCCTACACTGTCCCTTGGGCAGTAGATGACCTCTTAAGATATAGTTACTGGACTCAAATTTGTCATTATTTACCGAAAACTATTTTATGGTCTAGTTTGCAAGTCCAGTGATTATCCTGTTGAATTTTTTTCATCTTTGGGAAACAAGGTCTAGCTATATGGTTCATGCTGGCCTTGAAACTCACCTTGTAGCCCAGACTGATCTCAAATTTGCAGATTCACCTGCCTCAGCCTCTCTAGTGCTTGGATTGTAGAAGTGCACAACCTTGCCAGCTCCTGTGGCATTTTCAGTGGAAGGAATCCGGAGCTTGTGATTTAATTCAGTTGCACAAGTGCCTGGCTGGGAAGTGAGAGGGCATGAGTTTGATCCCCAGGAAAAACATCAAAACAAAACCAAAAATAAATAATAAGATAATTCACGTTTTAGACACAGTGCACATGCTTAGTCAGGACACAGCAAACATCATGAACTTCTGTCAGGTCCGGTTTCTTTGCCTGCTACATCCTGAGGCTATAGTGTGGCTGAACATGCCACCACACTAATGTGCTGACCCAGTGAGTGCTGCACTCACAGTGAGTTTATGTCATAGCTGACCAACCTCAGTTTTTAGGGACTGATCAAACATTGCCCCAGAAGGAAATGTTTTTATTAATCTACTCACAAAACAACAACAACAAAAAAATCTACCTTCTGCCCTTAGAAGGGACCTCTTTCTTGAAAGACCATTATATATATATATATATATATATATATATATATATATATGTGTGTGTGTATCAATAAAGGTGATTTTAAAAAGAAAATGCTTTCAACATGACAATGAACTTTTAATAATACCGTTGTACCTACAAAAACAGCCAGAAATCACAACTCTAAGAAAATTTACATTATTTAATTTGTTTATAAAATCTTCAATACTCAAAGATAAATGCACTCATAATGTATGCAGAATGTAATTTAAAATTGGACTTAGATAATTTTACTGACTTGGATGTATCTGTTCAGAAAGGTAAAATACATTTATGAAAATACATATGTTGAAAAGATCCCAATATAACACTTATGAATTCATAAATGTTTAAACAATTAAACAGATTATTATCACCATTCCCTTGAAAACCCTGTAATAATCTACTGTTTTCAAGAAAAGGGAGATGCAGTGATCTGAACATGTCACCACACTAACGTGTTGAAAGATAGTCATCAATGCAACTGTACTAATCAGTAGGATTTTTGAAAGTTAATTCAAATAAATATATGCCTCATGTGTAAAATACGGGCACTTATGAAAAGGACTCCAAAGAATGAGTTGATCCTTTCTGTGCTTACACACAAACCTCAAACACACACACACACACACACATATTTTACACCTTTAATTGTATTTCCTACCACAAAGATCTTCTTACTTTAAGCTTATAGGAGAACACACGGCTCTTCTATTTTGCCATTGCTTCTCCTCACACCCTTTCTTTGTGAGAGTGCAGTAAGAACAAGCAAGGCTTCACCAAGGCTGTGGAGTGATTTTGGACTTTGCAGAATGCACAACTGCAGGAAATAATTTGTATTGTACGTAAATTATCTAGTCTCAGGTGTTTTGTTATACCAGCACAAATGGACTGAGGTCTTTGAACTATAAAACACAACAGTAACAATGTTTTAATATTTTAAAGTACTTGTCAAAATAACATTAAAACTATACCAAGTTATGTTTTTGTACCAAAGATACTAAAGCTTTAGTCATAACATTTCCTTTTACCTGCATTTTCAGGCATTGCTACCAAATGGGAATGCTCTCAATCTAGATTATGCAATAGAGTAGCTACTACTCAGCTATAATTAACCATTCATTCACTCCTTGAGATTTCATGTGCATAAAGAAACACCTGCTTATTTCATTTATTTAATATTCATGAGTATTAAGTTAACATTAATAAAAATGGAATTCATTCAATTGGAATAGTGATCAAGGTCAAGTGGTTAGAATACCATAAAATTGGAACATAAGGTCAGAAATACCTATAACTTTTTAGATGTGTGCAACTCTTTTTATTAGTACATGTTTCCTTCCACTAAATGAAATTTTCATTGATATTAGAGAGTAGGTACATGCAGTAATACACCTTGATTCATTTTTATTTTCCTTCCCCTCCCCCTTCACCTTGTTCCCTCTGAATCTAAATGTGCCTTCTTCATTTTCATTGTTGTAGTTGTTATTTTAAAGCTTTAAATTTCCCCTTCCCCCACCCTTCACTGACCCTTAACCTTGGTATCCTGGACCACAACCAATTTGCAAACTATCTATCTGTGTCCCCTTTATTTTGCTCTTCATTTCTATTTTTCCTTACTCAAAGCAGAGATACAACAGTGTATATAAACTTGTATTTCTATTTGATTTAACATAGTACTTTCCAAGTGTAACAAGTTTTCTACAAATGTCTGCAATGTATCCTACTTTGGAGGCAAGGAATATTTTATTATGAACAGATGCCATATTTTCTTTTATCCATGTGTCAGTTGATGGGCATACTGCTGCTTTATTATGCATTGTGTACCAATAAACATTGTTAGGCATGTATCACTGAAATATGATACCTTTTGTTCTATTTGGAATATACCTGGATGAAGAATAGTCAGATCAAATAGAATTTATAAATTTAGTTCTTTGAGAAATCTCCCTACTGATATCCACAGCGGTTATACTAGTTTACATTCCAGTTATCAAAGCAGGAAGCATTGACTTTTTTTTTAATGCCATCTTGCCGGTGTTCATTATTTGTTTTCTTGATGACTGACATTCTTAGTGGTATGAGATGAAACCTTAGCATTGTTTTAATGTACATTACTCTAATAGTTAGAACTGTTGACTATTTTTGCATATGTCTTTTGGCTGTTTGTTCCTCTTTGAAGTGTGTATTCTCTTCACATGAACATTTTCTGATTGGATCTTTTAATTTGGGTGGTCTCATTTTTGGTGGGTTTATAGATTCTAAACCCTAGTCTTCTATCTGTGGACGATCTGTCATTTTAATTCCATTTTGCAGGCTGTCAGTTCTCTCTAAGGATTGCTTTCTTTGTTGTTCAAATATTTTTAATTTCATGGAATGCCATTTGTGGTTTCTTTTTGTTATTTCTTATGAAATTAGAATCCTGTTCAGAAAGTCCTTACCAGAACTTATGACTTCAAAATTTTGTTTATTTTATCATTCACTAGGTTATTGCTTTTGCTGTTAGGTTTAAAAATTTGATGCCTTTTGAGTTTAGTTTAGTGCATGTGTCAGATATAAATGGTGCAAGATATGGATCACCTTGTTCTGCATATTGATAGCCATTTTTTTCAACGTAATATGGTAAAGAGATTGTCTTCCCACCAATGTGTGCTTGTCTCCCCTTTGTCAAAGATCACATAGTTGATTATTTCTAAGGTCATTACCATATCTTTATTCTGTCTCACTGATCCAAATATCTATTTTTGAGTCATTGTAACACTACTTTTAACACCCTTGCATTGTAGTACAACTTGAATTCACTTATGCCAATGCCTTCTTCTTTGTTCTTGTTTTCCAGGGTTGATTTTGCCATTCTGGGTTTCTTCTGGTTCCACAATAACTTACAGATTGTTTTCTCTATTTCTTTGAGTAATGCTGTTCATTTTTGACTGGGATTGTTTTGAATCTGTGTATCAGTTGGGTAGTATGGTCTTTTTGACAGTAT